CATCACCTCCAGGTTCTCCTCACCTCCCACCAGACCCCACCACCATCATCATCACCACCACCATCATCTCCAGCCAGGTTCTCCCCACCACTCACCCTCCGGGCTTTGCTCTGGTACTTGACGGCTTTTTTGGTGTCCGAGACGGCGCGTTCCACGTAATCCACCGAGTGCTCCACGTTGTACTCGATGCGGTCGATCATCTCGCCCTGAGGAGTCACAAACCCCTCGGTTCTAGGTGACTCAACGGCGCCTGGGTGGGCTCAAGAGCTTCTGGTGGCATCTAGACCAGCTACTGAGCCCTGATGTTGGCTTTTGGTGGGTTCTAGGTGACCCTTGGTGGGCTCAAGAGGTTTTGGTGGCGTCTAGATGGGCTACTGAGCCCTGATGTTGGCTTTTGGTGGGTTCTAGGTGACTCTTGGTGGGCTCAAGAGCTTTTGGTGGCATCTAGACCAGCTACTGAGCCCTGATGATGGCTTTTGGTGGGTTCTAGGTGACTCTTGGTGGGCTCAAGAGGTTTTGGTTTCATCTAGACCAGCTACTGAGCCCTGATGATGGCTTTTGGTGGGTTCTAGGTGACCCTTGATGAGCTCAAGAGGTTTTGGTGGCAACCAGATGAGCCAATGAACAATAAATATGGGGTTTTGGTAGGTTCTAGGTGACCCTTGGTGGGCTCAAGAGCTTTTGGTGGCATCTAGATGAGGTACTAAGCCCTGATGATGGGGTTTGGGTGGGTTCTAGGTGACCCCACGGTCTCTCGGTGGACATGAGCGCTCTCACTCATGGGTTCTAGGTGACCCTGTGGGCTCTACAAGTTTCGATGGACCTCAGATGATCCAACAAGACCTCAAATTTGGGGGGTAGGAGGGATCCATGGGATCTTCTGCTTCACTGGAGGCTTTGTGGAGCTCCTCCTGGTCCTCAACGTGGGCAGGTCCAAGTTCCCCTCCACCCCCTCCCCCACCCCATACCTGGCTCTCCACCAGCATGGCCATGTCCACAAACATGTCGTGAAGCTCCCGGATGCTCGTTTCCAACTTGATGATCTCGTTGTGTCGCGTCTCGATCTCGTTCAGGGCCTGTTTGGTCATCTGGGAGTCCATTTTGATCTGGTAGGAGAGAACGTTGGCTGGGGGGGAGGTTCCTTCAGCTGGAGATGAGCCAATGGAGCTCCAGGTAACCCAGGAGGTCA